AGAGCTACGAGGATGATGAAGGGACTTGAACCAGAGAGGGTGTGGAGTCTCCTGCTCTGGAGACTTTCCAACCCGCCTGGACACGTTCCTGTGGGGCTGCCCTGGGTGACCCTGCTCTGGCGGGGGGTGGCACTGGGGGATCTCTGGAAGTCCCTTCCAACTCTGATGGTTTTGTGATTGGAAACTAGTAAAATAGATGTTAAAGCAACATATAAATTGTGAAAGCAACTCAAAGAAAAGAAGGACCAAGAAAAAAAATGACACCTGGAAGTGTCCAAGGCCGGGTTGGACGGGGCTTGGAGCAACCTGGTTTGGTGGGAGGTGTCCCTGCCCATGGTAGGGGGGTGGAACGAGATGAACTTTAAGATCCCTTCCAACCCAAAACATTCCATGATTCCACGAACCTGAACTAGACAATGATGTGAAGAACAACCTGGAGGGGAGGGCCTGGGGGTGCTCAAGGTGGAGGAGGAGTGCGGCATAAGGTTTGTGGAGAGGTTGGAAGAGGGTGAGCTGGAGAAAGGGGGCGAGTATCAGGGAGTGGTAGAAAATTGGCAGTGGAAGCACAGGGCCACGATGTGACATGTAAGTAAATTTACAAGGGGAGGAAGTGAGGGTGAAGCATTTAGTACCTTCTGGCTAACTTTTATTTCTTTAAAAGTCAATTCTGGTAAAAAAAAGTGAGTTAGGCTGTTACCCAGGAGGTCTTGTCTTCCCTTTCCTGCCCTGCTCAGGAAACGTGTCTGCGTAGCGCTTTTTCCTTCTCACTAAACTTTGTCTGCTGTGGACAAATCGATGTCACCTCCCAGGTGGTTGTATCCCACTGTGCAGTCAGGCTTGTACTTGATAATGTCTCAAAGTTACCATGGATATAGGCTTTCTCTTAAAACACCGTTTTAGCTGCCAGTCCTCGTGCGGCTGCATCATATACAGCTAAAATTGATGCCAGTTGGAAGCATTTGCAGTTGATCGTGGGTAAACTGCTTTATTTGGGGGAGTTTGAAGCTTTTTATCACCTTCTCTTCCAGAGTTTTACTGCGGGCGACGACGGGCTGCCATGAATTCGAGTATTTCCCTCTGATTTGCCGTTCGCGGAGCCGAAGCGAGGGATGGCTGCGGAAGCCAAGTACAGCATCATTCGAGAAGTGGGCCGAGGGAGCTACGGGGTGGTGTACGAGGCCGTCGTTAACCAAACTCGAAGCAAAGTAGCTGTAAAAAGGATGCACTGTAACGTGCCCGAAAACGTCGAACTGGCTCTTCAAGAGTTCTGGGCCCTTCAGAGCATCCAGAGGCAACACGAGAACGTGATCCAGTTGGAGGAGTGTATCCTGCAGACCGGTCAAGTCTTTCAGCCCATCAGGCACCGGTACGGGAAATCGAACAGCCACTTGCTGCTCATCGAGACCTGTCTGAAGGGGCGGAGGTGCATGGATCCCAAATCCGCCTGCTTCCTCTGGTTCGTGATGGAATTCTGCGACGGGGGCAACATGAACGAGTACCTGCTGTCTCGCAGCCCCGACGCTCAGCTCAACAACAGCTTCATGCGGCAGCTCAGCAGCGCCGTGGCTTTCCTGCACAGGAACCAGATCGTTCACAGAGACCTGAAATCCGACAACATCTTGATTTCTCACCAACGGGGAAGCCCCACAGTAAAGGTAAGGGGATAAACCTTCGCCGTAACGAGTAGGCGACCTGCGTGCTTACGCGTCGCGCGCTTTGCAGCGGGCTTTTGGTAAGCCTTGTGATGCTCATGCTCAGAACATCTGATATTGCTTGTAGGCTCTTGTTTTAGGAGTCTTGGAAAGAAGTAGAGGTCATGAAGGTGCGTTTCTGTCACATCTTTCATCACCACTTATTCTGTTCAGGGCTGTCGAACTTCTGTGCGCTAGATAATCGGAGAGATCACGATCGGTCGAAGGTGAAGCAATATTTACTGTTCCCTTAAACTCTGAAGAACCCTGTTGCAACAGCTGGTGCTCCCAGTATTGCTGCCTTGAGCTCATATTGATGTTTGGGGCAGGTGGGAAATAGCTTCGTGCTGGTTCCCTGATGGAGGTGAAGACTGGTGAGCGGCCTTTCTCGTAGCACCGGGCTGAAAAAAGCTGGAAAAGCTGGGAGCACCACATCACTAAACTTTGAATTCCAAGGGTTCCCGTGGTTAGGGCCTAAAATAATAGCTCGGTGCATTCAGATAATTCATGACTTGACCGTTCAGATCAATAATGGTGTTTGTACTTCAAACTGTAGAACCGTCAAGGGACGTTTGAATCAATGTCTTCTTAATCACTCTGGATGATAATGGTCATATAAGAGGTTCAGCAGTGAGAGCCGCTTCTCCCGTAGGTGGTGTTCAAGGTATGTTTGTGCCCGATTAGGGTGAACTTTGCAGGAAGATAACGACCTGCTGCGCCAGCCTTGGGAAAGGGAACACACTGGAACTGGAAAGGAATCAGGGAAGGGACGGCTGACGGGAAAGAATCAGCTCTTTGTTTCACCAAGGTTGCCACCCGACAAGTGTCGGTGCCGTGCTGCGGTGGATTTCCAAGCAGAATTCGCTGAGCTGCTGTTCATAAACATGTTTTTAAACCTCGTGTTTGTGAGTAACTGTTTTTTCTCTTCACACTCTGCAGGTAGCGGATTTTGGCCTCAGCAAGGTGTGTCAGGGGAAGGGGAATGTGAACCAGCAACGCTTCTCCTCTGTGTGCGGGTCAAACTTCTACATGGCTCCAGAAGTATGGGAAGGTCACTACACTGCCAAGGCCGACATATTCGCCCTTGGGATCATTTTCTGGGCTATGGTCGAGAGGATCACCTTCCGAGACGGAGATTCCGAAAAGGAATTGCTCGGTGAGGAGCAGATCGGTGCTGTCCCGTTGCCGGTGGACGTTGCTGTGGAGGTGTTGGGTCATAGGCTGGACGTGATGATCTCAGAGGTCTTTTCCAGCCTCAATAATTCTGTGATTCGGGATCTGTGGGGATCCTCTGAGAGGTGTTCTCCGAGGCGTAGTTACAAATGCTGTGGCATACATGCTTTGGATGTGGATTTTCCAGGAATTTGCAACCCCAAGAAACTCAAAGTTGGGTTTTTGGGGGAGATGGGTTTTTGTTTTGAAGAGAACTGCGAAGAAATCTCTTTCTTTTCCACTTACATTGCTCATGCAGGGTTTCCAGGTCTTGAAAGACATATCACTAAGGCAGAGGGAATGTTTTTTTTTCACATTTACAAATTGTTTTGTTTGGAAAAAAATCATTCCTTCTGCCAGATTTTCCAGAAATGCTCTGGGGGATTTAAAAGGTTAAAGGAAAGATCATTTTGGCTTCTCTGCTGTCAGGCCTTCCCTGCACCAAGGAACCCTCCTCAAAAATGGATTTTGGCCATGAATGTTACTAAAAGAATTGTAAAATGAGGAGAAAGAAAAAAACATCTCGTGGCTGTCAGTGCGGCAGCTGTGCTCTTCATAGAGGATTGAGGATCTGTAGTCTCCTGTTTGCTCAGAAATGCTTGTAATGCTCTTAAAACCAAAACCTTTCTGGAAACTGGGCTTCTGAGTTCGTTCCTATCCTTGACTTGGCATAACCAAGGGATGGGATCGCTCGGAGCGCCGAAAGGATGTTCCAAGGAGCCAAATAATTGACGAGGGAGAGGATGTTTGGCCGAGCTTCGCTGCCATCTGGCCGAGCCTCTCAGCTTCGAGATGCGAGATCTCGCTGGGATGACTCGGCCGACGACCTGCTCTCTCCTCCTCTCTTCTCCCCTCCTTCCTCCGTATCCTCCGCATCTCTGCACGCTCCCAATACTTGGTACTAAATGATTTCAGAAGGGTTTGTGGCAGCGGAAAATCCATCTTGGAGAGGAGAGAATGCCAGTCACGCACATTAGCATAATAATTGAAGACATCTACCCAGGCGCTGAGATCATAGTATTACCTGTCTGTCTGTCTTTTCAGTATTTAAATTCTTAAAAGGAACTGCTGCGGACGAACTTGGAGAAGCTATTGTGCTACCTCTAATTTTATTCAATTTTAATTTTTTTTTTTCCCCATCTTCCAAGTAGGCATTCGCTCTAATTCTATTATTTATTTCTTTTTAAAATGCCAAACATCGATAAATGTTTTAGTTCCTGCCCACGGAAACAAGCAAATGGTTGCAGCTGAGACCAAAGCCTGAACAGATTTTCATTTAAACGACGACCCTCCAACTCGAGATAAGGAGTTTGCAAAGCCAGACAGGTCACTGCCTTTGAAACATTTATTCTGTGCTCGGTGCCGGGGCAGAAGAGCTTGAGTGAGCAAAGCTGTTTTGACTGTCTGCTTTGGAAGCCGGTTAATCATTTTCAACAACCGGTGAAATTATTTAGATTACCGGGAGCAAATTTACATTTCCCTTCCTTAATCTCGCCGAGGAGATGCTGGCCGACGGTAAATGGCATATGCTGTCATTTTAATTGAAATTTGTTGGACTAACTGAGCAAATAAGTTTGGCGCTTAACTCTTTGAAGCCGCCTCGGCCGAGCGCGGTCTCCCTCCCTCTTTTCGAGCTCCCGAGTCTCCCGGCGAGCTGAAACAGTAAAATGCAGGATGTTCACCTCAGCAGCCCGTGTTCTCCACAGATGATCCGTGCGGCTCCGTTCCGCGCGGCCTCGTGCAGCGTCTTGGTTAGTTTTCAAAAGGCAAAGCCTCATCTGATCGCGACCTCTCCCAATATTTGCCTTGGCCGTTGCCTCTCTCCGGTAACCTTTCCAGATGTTGTGCTTTCCAAATCATCTGTCTGCGCTGCAGGGGACAGCGTTTCAGGCAGGCTTTCCTCTACCTCTATAACCTGACTCTTCCTAATCCCTGTTCAGGAACTTACGTCTGCCAAGGCAAGGAGCTTATTCCCCTCGGAGAAGCGTTGCTGGAGAATCCCAACCTGAAATTACAAATCCCTCTGAAGAACAAGAAGTCCATGCCAGGTGATCTCTGCAAGCTCCTGCACGACATGCTGGCTTTTAACCCCAAGGAAAGATTGGATGCCTTCCAGCTGGAAGTCCGGATCCGGCAAATCTCCTACGGCAAAAAGCGGCAGCGCTCCGTCTCGTGAGACGCGGAGGATGTTCAGGTTAGTGTCTCTGCCAGGCTACTCCCCGTTTACTCAGAGCTCTCGGGGAGGGAGGAGGATTTTGTGTTACTGACCTCCAGGCCACAGCCCTCTAAGTAAAAATGTGACCCGCAGCGGTCCTGAAAATTCAGCGATAAGGAGGTGCCGTCAAAATAGAAGAAGGATAAACATTCGGGAAAAGGAATCTGGTTGAAGTTCCTCTGAGACAGAATCTTTTTGTCTTAATGGTGTTTGTCCAACCCATGGTGGGGAGGTTGGATTAGATGATCTCTAAGGTCCCTTCCACCCTAAGTTATTCTATGATTCCGTGTTTGGGAATTGTCTGTATTTACATCAGCCTGCCCTAAACCTCTGTTTCCCTGATTTAGGGCAGATTTCTGCCATCACTCGAGCATTTACCCCTAGTTTTGGTGCTTTGACAATATATTTGCTAGCTAAAAAAAGCTGAAGCAGGTGAAGTTACTGTGTATTTGTAGGTGCACATCTTAAACGTGGTAGTCAGGTTAGATTAAAGACAAATTTATTTATTTTTTTTGTATTAAAGCACTGTTAATGCTCAGAAGAGCGTATCGGAGCTGAATGCACTAGGTGATGGAGGAGCTTGAAGAATATCTTAAAAACGGCTGGACTGGAACTCTGGTGGTCTGGCCGAGTCCTGCAGTGACACTGTTGGTTATAGGCACCTGCTCTGGGGGGAAAAAGAAAAAATTGGTCCAAATCCTTGTGAGCTCCTGATGGCCTCTTGAGTATCCGCCTATGGAAGTAGAGACAGGAGTTTTCAGGATTGTAAAGAATTTATTTTTTCATAGAATTTTTTTGGTTCTTTGCAACACAAACACATTTCTGATCAGTTTAACACTCTTGAGCTTGCAACAGGCTTATCCATCCGCTTCAGATGTTCTTCTTCCTGGGTGTTGGCCCGATCCGAACTATTTTCTGGAGGTTCAAGGTTGGTTCGGTGGCCCCATCGAGGTCGGCTCCTCCATCTCCTCCGCGTACAAATAATTTCTGCGCTTCCGCTAGACGAGTCTCTTCAGTCCCCTGTAAAGCCCTTCCATTTGCTGTCGACCTGAAAATATTCCTCCTGATGTTCCAGGACCACATCTCTCGTATCAATATCACTTAATCCTTTCATATTTACTTTGTATCCTAAATCCCTTTTTGACTGGAGTTGCTTCAAATCGATAAGGTGCTGCCTTACAGCAGGTACATTTTCTATCAGCCAGTGCCAGCCCCGGCTCGTTCGAAGAAACAGCGAAGGCCCCCAAATATTTCCTCCCCCTTTTTTTACAACCGTAATGCCTCCAGCTTCGTCTCGTTGGCACGCTTCTAATTGTGCCAAGGCTGTTAGCGAAAACATTAATTAAAGCGAGCCTTGCCGGCGCCAATCTTGATAAAACTCTACTCTAGCTTCTTCGTTCCCAAATTACTCTGTTTCAGTTTTCCCTTGGGACAGGTTTAGCTGCCTTATATCTTCCTTTTTACTAATCTCAGCCTTCTCCCGTCTATCGAAATCTCAGTGGGCGGGACCGACGTTCCTTTTTATCTAGAGAAATGGGTTTTATCGCCAAAAGCTACTCGGTTGTGGTAGGATTTGCGGTTCTGGGGACTCCCACCTCACACGGGAAGGCCCGGAACAGCGATGGCACCACTAGTTGGCAGGCCAGCCCCGGAGAGGTTCGCCCGCTGGAGAGGAATTGGTGAGGATAAAAGAGACAAAAAGGCTCCCGCAGCAAAGCCTCGGGATTCCTACTGTTGATTTCCCTTTTTTCATTATGAAACCGTAACGGTAAATAGATCCTGCAGACTAAATTCAGAAAAAAACCCACGCCAGCACAGCCAGGACCTACCCCCGAAACCCCCCGTCTGCCTCCATCCTCTTAATTTATTTTATTTTATTTTCCTGATGGGTAGGAAGGGAGCTGAGCGCTGCCTGTCCTCGCTTTTTTTTCGCCGTGTAATCGGAGTTGACGGCTCTCTGCGCCACGAGACGCTCATCTCACACTGGTGAAAATGTTCTCAGCTGCTGTGTCGGGGCAGACTGAAACAAAAACCAGCGTGCCTTGTCTTAAAAGCCGATTTGTGGATGTTTTAGTCTAAAAAACAGTCTGATTGCCCACTCAGCTTTCTTAATCTGAAGTCAGGAGTAGCGCAGAAGCCGGAAAGGGTTTCTTGCAACGCTAAATCTCGGTGCTTCGGCAGAAATTCTCCAACAGCGAGATGGAATCAAACAGGGAATAATTTGAACTTTTTTTTTTTTCTTTTTTCCATGATGCCTTTTTATCACAAGGTAATGAGCAGTGCAGGGCAGCCAAACGCTAAATCTTCCCCAGAATGGTGTGAAAAAGCTCTAAATGGATTTAAAAGACAAGGATATGGGTATAACTTGTGATTCAGGAAGTCCTTCAATTAAACCCTGCTGGGAATCGGGGGTTTTTTCAAGCGTGCCTGCCCTGTGCTCCTCCTGAAGCGCCACCCGCCGTCCCCGAGGGACCTTTGCTCTTGCCAAAAAGTGTTTTATTTTGCAACTTTGGCGCATTTCCCTTGCAGGTACCGCATGTCCTGCTGCGACCCAGAGGTCTGCCTCCCGTTGGGACGAGCGGCTCACCGAGAAGACTGTCGCCGGCTTCCAGATTTCCCCGAATGGTTATATTTAAACGGACTCTAACTTTATTTATTTGTACAGTAATTTTAAGAGGAGAGCCACGAAAGATGCTATTTTTATGCAAACCTCCGAGTTTTTTCTATATCGCGTTCTTTCAGGCAGCGTTAGGTGAAAACTTGGCTGAAGGCAAGAGGACTTTCCAAACTTGCTGTTTTTAAAGCACCCTTTTTGTGCATCCTTTTATTGCTATTCTGTGACCCCCTCTTTTGAAGTGTGGCAAAGAAACATCCGGAAAACTCCCTGGAGATGGATTTTCTGCCCCACTGGCTGCCTTCCCAGCCCTGACTTCTTGCTGGTAATGCCATGTCGCTCGTCTTTGGCGCAGAAGTTGTCTTTAGGAGGTTTAATCGGAGTTTTTTTTATTGTATTCTTTTTTCCTGGTTGTATTTCTTTGCTCTGTCGTAACCGAGTGATGTCTGCCGAATGAGCTGGCAGAAGCATTCGAGCGTCTGTTCGGAAAAAGTTTGAGCAGAAACAAAAAATGTATTTTCCTCGCGGCGCCTTTTGCATATTCTTGCTTAGATTAACTAAAACGCTTTCTTAAAATAAATACAAAGAATGTTAAAGATGCCAACTCTTGATTAGAACGTATGCGTCACTAACGCTTAAAGCAGTGGAAGGAATCGTGCTTCCTGCTGTGCTGGCGGCTCGTGCCAGCTGTTCTTACAAGGGGAATGAAAAGGACTGAACTGAAATCTTGGCAGGTAAATGGGGAGACTAATTTGAAAAAAAATAGTTGAAGGTGTCTGTAAACTGCTGCCGAGCTTTGCTTTTTGTTTTGTTTATTTTTTTTCTGGAGGAGATGGGGGCTCCTCGATCAGGTTCCTCCTGTGCAGAGAGGAAACGTGTCCTGTGGGGAAACGTAACGTTTTCTCCCCGGCTCCTCCAGACCGTCAAATCGGTTCGTCCCGCGTAAAGGAGCCTGAATCGGCCTCTGGTAACAAACGGTAAGAGCGGCCCCCACAACGAGCTGTGGTGGGTATGCACGAAAAAAAATAAAATGAACTGAATCGTGAAAGGAAACTTCTGGAATTTAGAGACTCCCCAGCCCGATGAAGCGATGGCAGGTGCCGTCGCTCGGAAGCTCCTCCGGCTCTGGATGCCTCCGCACTGACCCAGCTCGTTCGGCGCTGGGACACGAGCTGGAAGCGGGGCTCTGGGTGTTTTATGATGAAGAGCTGCCGTCGCCCTGTTCTGGGGAGCACTTTGACCTTCTGGGGAGCGCTTCGACCTTCTCGCAGGAGGCAGCTCCGGCTCTGGTCGCAGCTCTACGCCCACGGCATGGCCCGGTCTGCTCAAATTCAGGCTGTTCCCTTGATTTCTATCTCTTCCAACTCCAGCTCGGATGTGGATGGGCGGCTTTTCCTCACCGCAGCTTTCGGTTGTAAATACTCTTTGCTTGACAGAGCCCTGCTCGACTGCAGTAAGTCTTCTTCATCCTTCTCTTCCTCACCCTGCAGCCTGTTGGCTGCTTTGTGCCACCTCGGAGCACGCCAGTGGACACCCAGAGCTGGTTTTAATTGAGAACCGGGTCCGTTTTGATGCAGCGCAGATTTTTGCACGCCCTTGTGACACACGAGGAAAATCCCAGGACACGAGAACGGCCGTTTACTCTTTATTTTTTTGCAGATTTTTGCACGCCCTCGCGACACACGAGGAAAATCCCAGGACACGAGAACGGCCGTTTACTCTTTATTTTTTTGCCGTGCTGGATGATACCCTTGCACTTGGTGTTTTAACGAGTCTGTACGTACACTTTAATCGCTCGAAACTCCGTGCTTTCTAAACGAATAAAACACTGGTTTTTGTTTGGTTGTTTTTTACCGCACAGTGTGGTAATATCGAGCATCTCTGTAGAATCACGTGCTGCTTTTTTCTTTCAGGAACCACGAATTAGTAAGTCTTACTTAGCGATTTACCTGGTGAATTGGTAAGAGAACGTGTGGAATGACAGCCTCTAATTTAAGCGGAAAGGGGCGGCAGGGGGAGAATCTCTCCCCTGCGATGAGCCTCGCGCGGCTCGGAGCGGGTTGTTAGAAAAGCTTTGCTAAAATGCTGGAGCTGCCCAGCGAGGCCGGCTTTTAAATCGATGCCTTCGGATTCAGGATGCTTCAGACCACTTCGTTTTTTTCCAAATGGGACAAATAACATCGCTCACGGAGGCGTGAGATAGCTCGGGGCTGAATTTATCCGGGGAAGAATTAAATACTCGCTGCCGTCCCCAGTCAGGATCAAGTCAGTCAAGACTAAATATTCTATTTTTCTCTAAAATTAAGCGTCGCCTCCAAATCGTTCGTTAGCAGACCTCGCTGTCGAT